ATGTGAAAACAGGATATCGATTTCAAATTCTTAGTCGTGAGGGGGGTTGACCATTAGTCTTTGATAGTAATAGTTTTCTTGGCTTGGATTTGGTAATGTACAATATATGACTCTTGGAGTGACTATTTTCTAAACGCAGAAAAATGGAATTCTCTCAAGCATATTACATGAATGATGACTCTGACGATAATTCTCCTTATATCTTCAAGGGATTTTCCTCAGCAACTACATCTCAGAGGCGTGGTATTCACCCGGTATGTTCAAGTTCTTTATGAAACATTGATCTTTTTTTCCATAAAAAGAGCACATAGGTAGTACAACTTACCTGCAAAGAGTAAAGTAGCAGCTATTTTCTATATTTATTGCTTGTTAAGGCCTTCTCTTTTCAACAATTGTGATGTATGCATTTCCTTTGTGACTTAAGACAGCAGTTAAATTGAAAATGTTTTGTTAGTTCTGAGTCATGTTTGGCAAAACTATTGAATAAAAGTTTGAAGCGTTCTTTTGATGATTAGAGGTGTAACCTAGTTCTCATGTATTACCATCTTCTTCCCCATATTCTTTTCTTTTTGACGATGAATGCACTTGACTAACAATTCATGCAATATACAAGCTTCAATTAATTGAATGTCCCATTGTGTTTCATGATGAGCCAATCTTTAGTCCCTGTTTCCTTTATAGCGTCTTCTTTTAGACGAAGAAACAAGGGAAAGAGTCTATGAGAGCAAAATCTCTTGATTTTGAGAAGTTACCTCTCTTGTACTGCAGCTTGCAGGATATGACTTTAAGACTGAGGCTTATCAGAAGGTAGATGAATTTCCTGCACACATCATAAGAAAAGGGGATAAGAAGATAAAAGATTTGGTGAAGGAGCATGTACTCCCTTTCCTTCCTGCTAAATCGCTTATGAAGTTTAAGGCTGTGTCCAAAGATTGGGAAAAATGGATAGCTAGTCCCTTATTAACCCACCAACAAAGTTTCTCTTGCCAGAGTTTTTCGGGCTACTTCTATCAAAATATGAGTAAATGGGATATGAATACTACGTTTTTATCTCTGGACCCTTCTACAATTGGAGTTCCCAGCCCAGCCCTTGATTTCTTGCCTGAAGTTGTCAAAATTCTAAGCTCTTGCAACGGGTTGCTCCTTTGTCAGGGGTTAGAGAAGTATTATGTTTGCAATCCTGCAACCAAAAACTGGAAAATTCTCCCCCCTCCTCGGTACTATCATGGGGATGAACCGGCAATTGTTCTTGCATTTGAACCTTCTTTGCGTAACATTGAGGCATATTATCATGTTATCTGTGCATTTCCTATGCTTGATCAGTCAATCATCGGATTTGAGATTTACTCTTCAGAATCAGATTCTTGGAGCTGCTCTTCTGCATACTTTTCTGATCTAGAAAATCCGTGTCTTGTTGGTGGGGGTTTGTTTATGAAGGGGGTTGCTTACTATGAGACAAAATCAAACGAAGTATTGGCCTTTGATGTGAAAGAAGAGATCGCTGCAATTATATCTTTACCTGTTGAAGTTGAGGGGGATGGATCCTTAACACAGATGGACGGTGAGCTGAGCTACGTTACTGCTTCTAATGTAAGGGAAAATGTCTTCTTAATAGATATCTACCAAGGCGTGGAACTGAACCTGAAGCACAGTGTTAGCATCAATCTTGGACCCGAGAGGAGTCTTACTTATGCGTGCAAGGTACTACCCTGTGTTAACAGTGATGCTGTGGCTATTCAGGTTCGCGAACACATATACTTGTATCACATCAGGGAGCAGAAAGTTGAGTCTATAGCAAGTCCAAACGCATTCGGTTCAGCCAAAAAGTTCCTGCCCTACATAAACAGCCTTGCTAATGCTACATTGAACTGAAGCCTTAATTCACTCTGTCCATGGGTGAAAATCACTGATTTTACAGCTCTTTTGAATCTCTGCTTACATTATGACTTGGATGATGTATAAAACTAAGTTGACATTCTCTTTTTTGTGAACAATGAATTTTGTGTAAGGACCTGTTTCATGTGGATAGTGACATTCTTATTATCTTTCGTCTCAACATGAATATTTATTTATTCATTTTTGTGGTTTATTTTTCAACTGTAAATTATGGTATATTCACCCCACAGAAATCATAATGAGTATTGTGCACAATGTATAATGCAAGAAACAATTTTATTCAAACATGTTAGAGGTAAAAAAAAAAAATCAATGCTAGAGAGAGATCTCATTGTGTCACTTTTTTTGGTTGAATGAAAAAAGCCACGAGTTTGAGAACCAATTATTAACAATCACAAACACGTTGAAAAATTTCATCTTCCTCAAAATCTAACACGATGATGACATTTGCTAGCTTGTCTCTCTTTCTAATATCTATGACCATTTCTCTGATCAGTAAAATACTTTTTAAAGATATTTTTATCCATCATAAATTCGGATTGGTTAGCTGATATCAGTTTGGGCAAATACTAATTCCAATTTGTCAATAATAACTTTGGACATAATCTTATTAATGAAGTTACTCAAACTTATTGGTCTCATATCAGAAAAAAAGTATTAATATTATTTATTATTATTATTAAGAAGGATTAGATTAGTATGATTAAGCTTAAACCAAGTTTGTCATACTTTATAGATGCTTACCGAAAAGTGCCTATTTGTGAAGCAAACTTTTGATGCAATGCAACCACTAGGAATACTCCAATGGAGAAATGACTTGGTAAATCCAATGAAAATTAACCACGTGACCCCATTCCACAAAAATATAAAGTTATATTATATTCTCGTTTATTTTTACTTGTCTATTCTAAACTTTTTACGCTTTTTAAAAATCAAAATACTTAATGAACAAGTAAAACAAATTTGACTTTTACTCGCCTATTTTGAACTTTACACACATTTTAAAACAAAATACTTTGGCCCTGTTTGGAAAGTCACACTAGTAATTGAATTTAGTGTAATTGAGTATTATTACACAGTGTCTTACATGTTTGGTTGGTCATGTAATTATTTAGTTTGGTTGGACAGGTAATTACTTGGTCAACAAGTAATTGAATGTAATTGAAGTAGGTAATTACATGGTATAATTACAAGCTGGTTACTTTTTAAATTCTTGCTTTTAAGTTTTTTTTTTCATTTTAATTTATTTTTTATTTTTACTACTTTAAAAAAAATATTATATTATTATTTTAATATTTTTAATTTTTTATTATTATTATTTATATTTAATTTCCTTCTCATTCTCAACATTTACTTCATGTGATTCCATGCAATTTTTATTTTTTTTTCATTAGCATAATTTTGATAGTATTCTAATTTTAAAATTAAAGTAGAATTCATTGTTGAATAATGTTATAGATTTACATTCTCCTCTTCTTTTAAATCATATTTATGTATGTTATGTTGAAATTTGACATAAGAGTATTATGTCAACTTTTTTGTTTTAGATTTAGAATTTATGTTATATTTTCAATTTCATTTGTTTTAGGAGTATTGACTCGATATTTTACATTGCAAACTATTCTTTTAGTTAGACTTAATAGATTATGTTTTGTCAAATGTTTTTATAATTTTATGGCATTATATTTATAATACTAATTTTTTTGTCAAACATGCATTTCATAGAAATTTTGTACTTTAGTTTTTGTGATTAGTTTAATTAAAATATACTAATTTAAAAAATATAAATTAATTATTTTTTATAATATTAGGCAAGAACATATGTTTATTAATTATTATATTTTTAAAAGACAATATATATCTTAAATATTCAATTTAAAATCATTTATAAATCACTTATTTGTCTAGTATATTTTTTTAATTTTAGATAATTAATTTTTATTTTAAAAATTTAATATAACCTTATGATTATCAGGCCGGGGTGTAAATATATATACTTTAAATGTAGAATTTGACATATATATATATATATATATATAACGTAATTTCTGATAACCTTATGATTATCAGGCCGAGGCCACTGCATTGCTTGTTTAAAATCAAGAATCCTCAGCGCGATTTAATTATGTCTGCTTTCTGATAAGATGCTCTGTTCTGTATCATATTAAAATTCTGTATGCTCTGTTCTGTATGTATAAGATTCAAATTCTTAGTCGCGGAGATTTGATGAGTAATAGTACTAGTTTTTTCTGATTACAACTTTTCCAAGAAAGAAGAAAAATTAGCTACTTACATTGCCAAATGCCAATATATGACTTTTTCTAATTGCAGAAAGATGGAATTCTTTGAAGCAGACAACATGATCCATGACTGTCACCATAATTCTCATAAGGTTTTACCCCTTTTTCTTTATACCTCAAATTGCTCTCTTCAACTGCAGCTTGATTACTTAAACAACTTCATTTCTTATGAACTTCCTCCATATGTCGCAATGAAGAAAGATCTGAAGATAAAAGATGTGGTGAAGGAACATGTGCTCCCCTTGCTTCTTGCTAAATCGCTTATGAAGTTTAAGGCTGTGTCCAAAGATTGGGAGAAATGGTTATCTAGTCCCTTATTAGGCATGAAAATGAGCCTGAAGCGCGCATCAATCGAGGTACTAACAATGATGTTGTAGCTATTCATATACTTGTATCATATCAGAGAGCAGAAAGTTGAGTTTATAACATGTCCATGCGATAGCGGCCTGAAGGAGCCTTAATTCACTATATTTTTTCCCTACAGTAGAAAATCACTGATTTTACCTATGAATTTTCAATTTTTGGTTCATGTACACCATTTCTTTATAATCATAGATATGTCAATATATTAATAAGAAATGCAACAATTACAAATAAATGAGGAGCGTGCTTTTATTATTTAAAATTAATTTATTTTAAAGAAGCAACGGTAAATGAGAAAAGTGACAAGTAAAGAAGACAATTGTGGGGTAGAAAGCACAAAGACAAGGAGGAACTATAATTCTGGGAATAAGAATAACTAACTAATGATGTTAGGTGAAATTAGAGGTGTTAAATGGCAAGATTTGGCAAGAGAGAGAGGCCCCCTTCTTTTGAGGAACACTCCAAGTATTGTTTTGGGGGGTTGGGGCTGGGGAAAACTGCTAGACTAAGATGAAAATTTTACAATGTTAACATTTCTCTCTCTGTTCCATTTGACAATCATTATACATTCTTGTTCTTCATTGAGGTAAAAAATCTTTTTTTTATTTATTTATTCCCATATTATATAATGCAAGTAACATTGTTCATGGAAATATTGTAGGGACATTGAAGAATCGTTGAGAAGAGCAGTTAACGGGAGATAGATATTGAGGGAATTTTTATCATTTGTTAAAAATATGGATTCATCTCCTGGAACTGCTTCCTCCAATGATACTGATTCTAAAGAAAGCCCTTCTTCAAATGGAACTCCGCCTTCATCTTCAGATTCAAAAAATGATTCTCCTTCGTCTTCGTCTTCGTCTCCACCACCAAAAAATGAATCTCCACCTTCATCACCACCACCACAATCTCCTCCTCCATCTCCTAATGCATCACCACCTCCAAAAAATGATTCTCCTCCGCCTGCTTCACCACCACCATCCTCTTCTGAATCTAATTCATCACCATCAAAAGATAATAATAATATTAATAATAATAACGATCAATCCCCAAATCCTTCTTCTAATACACCTTCACAATCACCACCACCATCATCCACGTATAATACTCCATCAACCCCAAATAGTCCTAAAAATCCTCCATCATTTCTATTATTTTCTCCACCACCGCCTGTTTCTTCACGTGAATTGCCTGCACCTCCTCATGCACATTTGTCTCCTCCTCCACGCTCAGGATCTAATCAACCATCACCTGCAAACGATGATTCCTCAAGTACTGTTGGTATAGTAGCTGGAATTGCTGTCGGAGGCATAGTCATAATTGCATTAATCATTCTATGTGTATGGTGTAGTAAAAGGAAGAAGAAACAGAGATACTATATGGCTCCTGGACCTAAAGGTATGTTACTAATTACTAATAAAGTGTTGTTTAAAGCATAGTATTACTTTTTCTTTTCTTTTTTTTCCCGATTAAATATGTTTTTGATTAGGTGGTGATCCATACTACAATAACAACAATCAATGGAATAGACGTCAGTCGATGGATCATGTAATGAAGGTACCACAAAGTGAAATGGGGACTCAGAGTGGTTGGGCTGGAGCTACTCCACATCAGCAGGGAGCTAGTTCAAGCGGCGAATTTGGCTCAGGTTATTCAGGCCAAGCAGTGCCATTGCCTTCTCAATCACCTAACATGGGACTTGGTGGTTTCTCCCAGAGTCAATTCAGTTATGAGGAGCTAGCTAAGGCCACAGATGGATTTTCTCAGACCAATCTGTTAGGACAAGGTGGTTTCGGATACGTGCATAAAGGTGTTTTGAATGATGGAAGAGTGGTTGCCATCAAGAGTTTGAAAGCAGGAAGTGGACAAGGAGAACGAGAATTTCAAGCTGAGGTTGAGATCATTAGCAGAGTTCATCATCGTCATCTTGTGTCCCTCGTTGGATATTGCATTGCTAATGGACAACGCATGTTGGTCTATGAATATGTTGACAACAAAACCTTGGAGTTTCACCTTCATGGTACATACTCCCCACTTCTACTAAGATCATGTGAATCATATTCTGAAATTAAGAGAATTATTTTCCTAGTTGATTCCCGAATTTCGATTCAATATATTTCTTAATTCTAGTTTTGATAAGGGTGAAATCAAATTCATTATTGCAGGAAAAGGTCAACCTGTCATGGATTGGGAGACCAGACTTAAAATTGCTTTGGGATCAGCTAAAGGACTTGCTTATCTCCATGAAGATTGTATGAACATCCTAATCTACACTTTCACCTCTCTCTGTCTCTCTTTATCTCTCTCTCTCTCATTTCTTGATATATACATGCAGGCCAATATAGAATTATCCACCGTGACATCAAGGCTGCAAATATTCTACTAGACCTCAATTATGAAGCCTTGGTAATTAAATGATCAGCCACATTTGATATGTCAATGAAAATATGAAGAACAAGTTTTATGTTAAAACCTCGCGTTTTTGTTTAAGAAAGGTTTATTAACCATCACAATGCCTTTTAGATTTAAAGGAAAATTTTGGTTTATTAGGTGGCAGATTTTGGATTGGCTAAGCTTACTTCGGATAACAACACTCATGTATCAACTCGTGTTATGGGAACATTCGGGTGAGTCAAGCATAACTACTTAGTCGTATAAAACTTGTATTCAACAATCAGAACCAATTATGCATTTTAACAAACTTCAGATGTCTCTAAGCTAGAAAGTTACTTGCAGGTACTTAGCTCCTGAATATGCATCAAGTGGCAAACTAACAGAGAAGTCAGATGTGTTTTCATATGGAGTAATGCTGTTGGAGCTCATAACCGCAAAAAAACCTGTTGATCCTAGCAATATGATGGAGGATAGTTTAGTAGATTGGGTTTGTTCTAGATCCTCAGTTCACATTTGATGTGCTTAGACTTTTAACTTTTGCTTGAGGTATTGATCTAATATATGAATGTATACAGGCTAGGCCCCTTCTTACAAGAGCACTGGAAGAGGAAAAATATGATGGATTGGTAGACCCACGTCTTGAAGGGAACTTTGATACAGAAGAGCTACATCGCATGATAGGTTGTGCTGCTTCTAGCATTCGCCACTCTGCTAAAAGACGTCCCAAAATGAGTCAGGTATGATTACCCTCTCTAGAAGATAACAAATACTGCATATTTACATTATAATTTAACATGTTGTAGCATATTTTGGTGGTTTGCTTATATGGACTCGAGAAATCCTCTAGTTGTCATATCTTTACATGATATCAGAGTAAGGTTCATCTCCGTTTGGACAAAATGACTAGTTTCACTTATAAATATTATGTATTATGAACAGATTGTACGTGCATTGGAAGGCAATTCATCGTTGGAGGACTTGAACGATAATCCAAAACCAAGCAAGGTTCCTAGCTTTGCCGCGTCAAATGGGGCATCCACTCAGAGCTATGATACTGGTATGTATAATGCTGACATGATGAAGTTCAGGAAAATGATTATGCCAACCCAAGAATTCAGCAGCAGTCCAAGTGAGTAATGAACCAACCCTTCTTCCTCCTCCTCAAGCAACGATTCAACACGCGGGCAAGAGTAAAAAAAGAATGCACCTAAAGCTTGAGATATTTTTTTTCAAAACATATTCTTGGCTGGAACTTATAACAGAGATTTGGGATTACAAAAAATTAATGTTTATGATGAACATTCACTACTCATATCTTGATTTGAATAACAAAGATTATAGGATCAGAATACAATTATACTTTTTTTTGTTTCAATATGTACAGCAATTCACATACAATTTATTCCTACAAAAATGTTGAAGATCTTTATGTTTACCATATAGTCATCTGCTTGCTATTTGTATGTTTATATTTGATGTCCATTTGTAATTACAAAAATAATTTATGTATCAAAATCTTGTCCTTTTTTTGAGTAATTTATTTTTAATTTTATCAAAAGATTGCTTTAAAAGATTTCATTGTGCTCTCAGAGACAGAGTCACAATTTCTGTTTGTTAAAAAAAAAAAAAAGACACAATCAATAGTTTCTGTTATTGCCGTATACATTTCTCTGTTTCTAAATAATTTAACTTCAACGTTTCACTTTACTAGGATAAGATTATTAGTTATAATCACATAAATATTTTAGATTGCAAATTTCAAAAGTATTTTTAGGAATAAGTGACAAGTAAAAATGAATGGAGGAAGTAATATTGTACATTGGATGACGTGATATAAATCTCATCTCATTTTATATTATAAATAGGAAGATTCAAAGCTTAAAATTGAATTATCATTTTACCCTTATATTAAAACAATTAAAACAAATGTTATAAAATATAATTAAATAGTATATAGTAAAAAAATGCTCCTCAAATGTAATAAATATTGAACTACGTATCCTTCAAAAAGTCGTCTTCTTTATTATATATATCAAAAATAAAATAAAAAGACGTGGGACTCAAAATAGTAATTACTATAATGAAAGTTTGTTTCTCGCGTTAATGCAATAAAAGCCGTTTCCCGTGTTAATGCAAGATTGCACAAGAAAACCAAGAAATTTACATTAATCAACATTTTTCCATTGCAAATTAAAAGCAAGATTTTAAAAGATTTGTATTGAACAATTTAATAAATAACTCATTTAAATTGGTACATGAATCAAATTCACATTAATAGTCAATTTCTCTTTTTTTGTAAAAAACAAAAGTATTTGAAGAGTTTTTCCATTAAATAAATTTGATATGGACTAAAATCATTGAACTAAATTAATGCAAATTAATTTTATCTACTCAAAGGGCATCCTAACTACTGCTATAAAATGCCTAGCATGGTCTTCATGTAAATGATAAGAGGAGGATGAGAGATTATCATGCAAAAAACTAATCTTGCTCATCATTTTGTATGTGCAATAATTTTCTTTGGTTTTTATCCGCTCTTTCTTGACCAGCCTAAGTATTTTATATGTCTTTTTTTTTATATATATTTTGATATATTTTCTTATGATTTTGTTTTTCTATTGAAATATCTCGTGTTCTACATGAAGAAATTAGTGATATACAACTCATGTTCTACTAATAATTGATGAAAGGTTAATTAGTTAATTTGATATGCTATTTGGCTCTCAGTAGAGTGTTCTACTTTAGTATAAATATATTTTTGAGTTTATTATTTATGAGTAGAGAGAGGAATAATTAAATATTTGATTTAAAAAAAAAAAAAGAATCCATACCCTAAAATAAAATGCGCCACCGAATTGGAGATAAATGATGGATCATAATATGTGATTTGAGGCTGTATTTTTATTTAACTTTTCGTTTATAATCTATTTACTTTATTAGTCTATTATTCATGTGTTGAGACATTCATTCCTCAAATTGACCATATATGTTATATATCTAGAATAAGTCATTTTGAAATGTTTGAATTGTTCAATTTATATTAATTATGCAAACGTATATTTACTGTGATGAGAAGCTATTTATTGTTGATGTAAAATTTTAAGTATGGATGAAAGATTGTCAAACTCCAGTCTTCAGATTATTGGCTGGACCCATAAGTAGTTAAGTAGTAATTGTCCAAAGTAGAATGTCTACTTTTGTCTTAGAGATATTATTTATGAGAATGTGATACATTCTTTTGCCTAATTATTGAATGTTAATTATTACTCATACCTATAATTTTTTAATATCAAATGGTTTAATCTTATGTATATATTATAATAACTTATTAAAAGTGAAAACGAAAGTGTATAGTTGGATTACCATTTTGCCCCTATACTAAATCAAATACCTAATTAGTAAAATATTATATATCATTAACGTACAAATTAAAGATTCAATAAATGTAAGATAAAAAATAAAAAACTAGATCTGCATTTGAATAGTAATTGTCTATTACTATTCAAAATAAAAAGTTGAATATGAAGAGTCATTCTCCACTATTATGTAAAAACACCTACAGAATTAAAAATTTGAATTTACTTTTTAAGAACCAATTTTACAAAGATTGATGTTATCATTGGAAGTACATTGCACAATTCAAATTTCAACATGAGAATAAAAGAGAGTGAGAAATAACAAAAAATGATTGAGTATATCATCTATTTAATGTTCTTCTTCATAGTATATTTTTTATTATTTAGTGAATAAAATACAAATGGTAAAACTACTATTGTTAATTTCAGCATTTCCTATTTTAACTCAACTTTTTAGTATATAGAAATTTAATAATAATAAGGGACAAACGTGCAACACACGTTTTCAGAAACTAGTTATACAAATATATCCACGAATTATACAAATGATGTGTGAATTATAAAAACGAGGTCGTCCATAGCAGCTTAAACTATAGCTACAACCCGTAAATATGCAAACTATAACTAAGGAGCCTAATTAAGTTTATTATAATGACTATCTGTGATATATTTTTTTCCTATTTTTATTTGTTTTTACCTTTCATCTTTTATAAGTGACCCCATAGAGAGTATTAGGGACAAGTTTTTTTTAATCAATTTAAGGAACATATTCCCTTCCTCGAGTTATTAAAAAATTAACAACCACAATAAAAAGTTGTATCTCAAAGGGTACATTTATGGACAAGCTTCTTCGCTAAACGTTAATCATTATTAACCCTTTTTCTTGTAGTGTTGTAATCATAAACAAGTGTAGCAAATATAATGTTATTTTTATCTATTATTTTTTTCGTAGAAAATAGTTAATTATTCGTCTACAAATCATCCCTATTTAAATATTGCATATTTTGTGACAAAACAATGATCGTCACTAAATCGCATGTTGATTAGAGACAATAAAATAATCGTCACTAATTGCTTATTTATTAGTGACAAAAACAAAGGTCACAAATAAGTAGAAAATTTTGTGGCTAAAGCTTACACCCTTTAACTACGAACTCTATTTTGTCGTTGTTGTAACAAGTTATTTTTTATGACGAAACCTTTTTTGTATTCAAAATTCTAACTATTTTAAGGCAAACAATAGTTTGTCACAAATTAAATGTATTATTAGCGACAATATAATGTGTTACTAATAACTTAAAATTCGTCGCTCTGATACCTAATAAATGGTACAATTTTTTGGTGGAAAATTTTAGTGGACAAAAATTTGCTACGAAATTATATGTTTCGTCACTAAAAGTATATTGCTCATGCATTTAAATACGAAATAAAAATTTTGTCACAAAAGATGAATAATTAGTGACAATTTTGTGTTGTACCTAATAATTTCGTAGCTAAATATCACATTTGTTGTAGTGCGACCACGTGCTTGGCATGATTTGTGCAGATCATAGTGAATGAGTGATATTTGTATGAATTTCTTGGGTCTTTTCATTCTTTAAATCAATTCATTTGATTCTGTAATTTAATAACTAGTGTAATGTATAATTAGTATGTAGATGGTCCTTCAATTTCTTTTCTATTCGAAACTGAGTGGTCATTGAAAGTCTCATTTCATGGTTTCAATGGATGGATGGATCAACTAATAAAATGGAAAGAATGAGTTCAAACGATTGAGTGTATCCATCACCCTGTATAGAAAGTTGCAGGGTTTTATAGAGCTATCAAGAGTTCAGTTTATAGAGTTTAGACGGATCAACATTTGATTTTTGGGTTAGTAGAAAGATGGTGTTGTGAGATTAACATTTTTGTGTTTCAGTGGGGTGAAGCAACTGTAACTCTTTGAAGATAGGGAAAAAGGTCTGAAAAATACTCAAGTTTTGGCCGAAATTGTTGTTACGATATCAAACTTTATGGAAGACCTTTTATCCCCTACACTATTTAATAGAGTATTTTAAAGGTATATATGTGCCCACGTGGACACATTACTATTTAAAATGATGTGATATTTATGATGTCCACGTAGACACATATATACCTTTAAAATATACTATTAAATAGTACATAAAATGTCCTTTCCAAAGTTTGGTATAGTAACAACAATTTCGACCAAATTAAGTTGGAGTATTTTTCAGACCCTTTTCCCTTGAAGATATGATATTTTGGGAGGCTTCTCTGTTTTGGGTCCTTTCCAAAGTTTGGTATAGTAACAACAATTTCGACCAAATTAAGTTGGAGTATTTTTCAGACCCTTTTCCCTTGAAGATATGATATTTTGGGAGGCTTCTCTGTTTTGTCCCCTCCCCCCCCTCTTCAATCCCCTGAATTGGTAGAGATTAAAGAAAATCTTGAAAATGCGCGAATGGAGCTTATCAGATTGAAGATTAATAATCAGAGTAGATGATTGGTTATCAAGATTTGTTTTTCTAGGTAAAATAGGTGCTCATGTTTTCTCAATAACTGTTAATTTGGCAAGAGGTATGCAATTAATGCTAGTTGCATACCTCTTGCAAGATTAACAACTATTGAGAAAATATGAGAACCTATTTTACCAGAAAGCACAAATCTTGATAACCAAAGAGAAATAAAAGTTTCATGCTTAAAATTCCTACCACTGTTCATGAAAAAATTCAACCATCTACTTTGATTATTAGTCTTCAATCCGATAAGCTTCATTCGCGCACTTTCAAGATTTTCTTCAATCTCTACCAACTCAGGGGATTGAAGAGGGAATAAAACAGAGTCACTCAAAACAAAGAAGTCTCCTGAAATCATCATATCTTCAAGAGTAATAGTAGCTTAACTCCACGAAAACACAAAAGTGTTAGTCTCACAACACTGCCTTTCTACCAACCTAAAAAATCAAATTTTGATCCGTTTGGACTCTATAAATTGAACTTTTGATAGCTCCATAAATCCCTACAACTTTTTATACAGGGTGATGGATAGACTCAATTATTTGAACCCATTCTTTTCATTTTATTTGTTGATCCCTACATCCATTGCAACCATGAAAGGAGACTTTCAATGGCCACTCAGATTCGGATGGAAAAGGAATTGAAGGATTTATACAAACATCACTGATTCACTATGACATACACAAATCATGCCAACTACTTGAAAAAGTTTGGGTTATCTTTGTCCCTCCCAGATAATCTATAGTATTTTCAAAAGCTATGTATATTTGAAAATTTCCTATTCTTCTATCCACATTTAATATTTATCAAAGGCTTAAGTCATATGCTGCCCTTTAAAGTTGTTCGCATATTTCACTTAGACACCTCAATTTAGCCTCATACCTATTGAACACCTTATATGTTCAAAAATGGTTCCTATTGGACACAAAATGCATATGTGGCAAAAAATGTGTATTTCACCGTCCTTAAGCGCGTGAAACCATTGGAAATGTTTTTTTCCTTTTTCTTTTCAACTAATAAACCTAATTAATAAATAGTATAAATAATAATTAATTTAAAATTAAAAAGAAATCATCTTCTCCCTATCATCCCTCTCTGCAACTACTCTCATCTCTTTACACACCCACCCTACTGATGTGCCGCGAAATCGTGGCACATTTGATGCTTAATAACTATGAACTAATACTGATTTAAGTGATATTTTTGGGATTATTTTATGGGTTTGTTAATTGTGTAGGCAAATTCTGGGTTGTACAGGAAATGAAACAGAACTGATGTCGACCAAGTGAAGATCACGGAGGGGTATACGGGCCGTTGTTCTTACCACGGACCGTGGTACCTACCGTGAAGTTGAAGCAGTATAAAAACATGAAAGAGTTGAAAGAAGGTTGAAGCCCAAGTGAAGACCATAAGTGACTTCACGGGCCGTGGTCCTCACTATGGACCGTGGTAGCTCTCGTGGTACATTTTCCAGTGACCAAGTTTGAAGACCCACTCTGTGAAAGCTCAAAGGCAAGACCACGAAGGACTTCACGGGCCGTGGTCATCATTACGAACCGTGGTAGCTCTCGTGGTACATTTTCCAGTGACCAAGTTTGAAGACCCACTCTGGGGAAGCTCCAAGGCAAGACCACAGAGGTCTTCACGAGCCGTGAAGACCTTGACGGGTCGTGGTAGTGGCCGTGACAAGGCCCGACAATTCAGTCCTAACTTGATTAGGACTCATTTTAAACATTCTATTTTGGAATTACTTTAGGTCATTTTTGCAGGCATTATCGGGTATCTGACATTTTGGAGAAGAAAGGACGGCGGATTACTTTTAGTTTTGGGATTTTGGGATTTAGATTATTGTGATCAGTTGGAAGTTGTTCATCTCGATCTTGAGATTATCAAGTGGTTGTTGATTTACCAGTTATTTTTGTAAGTACATCATAACATGTTTTCATTATCCAGTATTGATTCTTTGCATAAAAACATGAGTGGCTAAAAGTCACTACTGGGTGTGTGGGATCTATGATGACATTCTAGTTGCGATTCCGTAAAATGAGTAAAAGACAATCTTTGTTTACAACCTGTAGTTTACAGCTTTCATTATCATTTTCGTCTATTGAGTGCACGCTTTAGACAGGCCTGTATCTGGTGTTTGTTCGAGAGAAAAACATTAGTAGGGAAAAAGCTAAACTAAGTTTACAAATTGGAGTTAAAGTAGGATTTCGAGAGAAGGAATCTTTAACACCATATCAAATTGAGCGAAGTCCAATATCGATAACACTTTACATTCGAGAGAATTAGAGTGAATATTATCTGATTAGGCTGAGAAGCGTTAGATTTATTTAATTCGCAAAGGTTCTGTAAATATTGACTTACCTGACACTAAATTTACGGGAGAGCATTATAATTAATGTCATAGTGAACACAAAACCTGGTTTCCTTAAATTAATTGAATCAACTTACAACGAGATCTTTTGTGAACTGTGTAACTAAGTTTTGATAGAATACTTTTCAATCAGACCCAAATTTACTTTTCTTGTTAATTGTTTAGGAAATAGTAACGACAATTGAGTAAACGCGACAGTGAAAATTTATCTGTAAAGAAATTCTCTGTGGGATCGACCTCAACTCTAGTTGAGTTCTGTAAATTGACAACGACCGTTTACACTCCTTATTTGGGGTGTAAGTTTGGACGTATACCCCCTCCAACTTTTCTCCCATTACTCCAATGATTCTCGTGTTTTTTCCTTTTTTTTTTTTATGTAAATCTAATTAAAGTCTCAAATATTTCGGCAAACTTACATTGTTTTCGATAAAAATAATATTTCGGTGAAGCAATTGATTTTTTTTTTATCTGTAAAAGTCTACTTTTTCTTGTAATTGTTATAAATAATTATTAGTGGAAAGAAGATAAAGATAACGAAGAGAAGGTTCTGATGCAATTATAATGAAAGGTGAATGAGGAATTAGCTTAGATGGACAATAATGGTGTACTGACTCCGGTGAAAGGGATAAAATTCAATGGATAAGAAGAAAGGGGTGAAGGCTATGGTTGACTAGCGTTGAGGCGCAGCGGCCAGTGGAAAGGGAACGGAGAAGAAGAAGAAGAAGAAGAAACATGGAGGTGACGGTTAAGATCGACGGAGAAGAAGAAGATAGGTGGGTGGCCGGTGGGGTTGGGGTGGGTTAATTCAAATTTTTGTTTTCTTAAATTGCTTTTTGATTATTTAAATAATTTTTTTTTAAAAATTAATCCAATTGCCATGTGTCATCGCTTCTTGGTCCATTTGCTATGTATGAGCGTTTGAAATGCACACAAATTTCTCTTTTATTTGACTATCATTTTGTGTTAAATAGGTATAAATTTGTTAAGGTTTAAGTGTTCAATAGGTACAAGCCTAGATTGATGTGTCTAAATGAAATATGAGGACAACTTTAAATGACTTTAGCCTTTATCAAACTTATGAAAACATGTCATGTGCCTATATGATACAATTTTTTATGGAATACTTAACTTGTCACGATAAATTAGTGAGTTTTGATATAAACTTAACTGTTGAAGCACACAAATCACTAACTCAAAATCAAATCACAATTGGACTTTTCATAATTCAACAACATTTTGAACTTCGTCATACTAAAATAAATAAAAAAATCATGAGGTGATCATTTTAGACTCCTCAATTGGATGATATTCCTTTTAGACATCTCATGTAGGATCCCGTTGTGTCAGTTTGACACTTTTTTGACAATCCACTAAAATTACATTGTGCGTGTAACACACTCGCGGATAACATAATATAATGGCTAATTAAGGAAAGACACGTGATATTTAAGTATAAAATAATACTTTAAAAATACATTATAGGAAAAATTAATTTTCAGCCAAAATTAATACTTAGTAAATAAAAGCATTTAGTTTCTAAACCCCACCAAACTATCCCACCCCTTCTTCCTCAGTCTTCCAAACTTTTCCAGCGCCTCCTCTTTACCCCTAATTTCATCTTTTGTTTTTTTTTCACTTTTTGGGGTTTTTATTAAATTCAGATTTTCATTTTTTTTTGTTGTAGATTTATTTTGTATGTTATTAATTTCATGCTTTTTAATTGTGTATCTAATATTACAATGCCTCAAAAAGGAATAAAACTATAAAAGGAGCACAAATACGAATGTTATGTATTATTTGTATGTTGTAGTCCCTCCCGTTTGGTATGAATATCTGCATATATGAACTTGATGGGTGTGATAGATGTACAATGGCGTGTAGCACTGAACTTGAAAGATTGCAATAAAAGTTGTAATTGTTAAAGAATAAGAATGAGAAGATGACGATGATTGTGGTGCTTTTCGGAACTGAAAAAATTAAAAAATTAATTTGATTGTATTAATAGCGATGGTGGCAGTGGTGGTGAATGGATGGTGTGTGGTGGAGGAGAGAATGAGGAAGAAGAATAGTTTTGACCTTTTAAATATTATTTTTTTGGCCTGAAAAAGAGCCTCTTCACACGCTGATTTTGGGTGCATTACACTTACCATGCCATGTCAGCGAAAAGTATCAAAATAACACAGTGGGATCCTACCTGAGATGTCTAAAATGAACATTAGTTAGTTGAGGTGTCTAAGTGAAATTTTGTGCCAAATTTAGGGGGATACCGATGAGTTTGGCCATTTTTTATGGAATACTTAACTTATCACAATAAATTAGTGAGTTTTGATATAAACTTAACTGTTGAAGCACACAAATCACTAACTCAAAATCAAACCACAATTGGACTTTTCATAATTCAACAACATTTTGAACTTCGCCATACTAAAATAAATAGAAAAATCACGAGGTGATCAATTTCTATCTTGTTTGAAGTTAGAGATTGTCAAACTATTTAAATTGATTTTTTAAAATTAATTATAAATTAAAAGTCAATAATCAAAATGGAAACACCCAACTTTTGACCTTTTTTTTTAAAAAAAAAACTTTTGAATGTGTTTGAGAATATTCTAACACTTTCAAAACAAAAATAGCTTAAAAGCAAAAAACCACTAAAAATATATCAATTGAAACAACGCTAGCTTTCAAATAGAAATATCAGAAATTTAAATTAATTTGAAAGCGTTTAAATTTTATGAAAAGTTATGTGTGGGGTACTTTGGGCCGCTGAAAAAACAATTCGAACATTGACTCACCAATCCTAATTTCGTTATTACATCCAACTCCAGGGGCAATTTTACAACATGGATTTCCCGCCCTTTTTGGTCTCTCTTACACCGGCAAGGTAATAAAATATTAAACCTACACGTTCATACCCACGCGCGCACACATCCCAGTTATTCTCCTACAAAAATCCCTACTGCATTTTCATTGCCGCCCAATTTCTTTGAATCTCTTCCATTGATTCCGATTACTCCTTGCCGGAGAGGAGTAGGTAAGTTCGTTTGTTTCAATCACAGTTTCGCTTAAATTTTTTATGATTTTGCCCTATTTTCTGACTACTTGTTGGATTTCGGTTTCCGTACATTTTTTTTGGACTTATTTTTTGGAGAGATAGAACAACAATAGGTTTGTTTTTCGAGTTGATGAAGCTTTTTGCATTGTGCATTTTGTGAAAAATCTTTTCTTTTTGGAGGTTAGGGTTTGGACACACTGAGATGGTTGCTAACGCCGACACCGGAGTGAAGGATGTTGTTACTAAAGCGGATTCTCCTGTTTCCGTCCTTGCAGAGGAGGTATTGCTTTTGTATTTTAGTTGCTTTGTTATCTCATCGAGTATTGGAATGAAATGAAATGAACCAAAGTAGAGCGGAATGGTGGATATAGAAGGTTCACATAACTAGAGCCTCATTAGTAGTAATTGTTGCTTTCTCCTTCAGGTACTCTGGCTAGTACTTGCGTTCTTTTAGGCTTTTGAATTTTTGTACTCATTATTGTTGTGTCTTGTGTCTTCATTCTGTGCATTAGTCCCATTTGAGGAAAGAAGTAAGTACTGGAAAATGGAAAAAACTTGCCTTGTGTGTTACTGTTGATTGTTGCTAAAAGCCTATGATATTTCCTGTTCGGGGTGGTGGGTGGAGAAACTTTAAGCTAGTCTTGAAGGAATCTAGCATTTTTTTTTTCTGCGTGGGTGGGGGGAATAGAGTTGTATGGCTGCGAGATGTACTAGACTGTGTATGGTGTGACATTGCACTTAATTGTCATTAGCATTGGTCTTGTGGTTTGTTAGCGTACTTCTTAAAAATCTAGGTAATTGGATGAGATAAGAGTGACAACATATTGTTTCTTGAAATGTGTCTAAACTATGACAATTAAGTTATCTTGATTTGAGTTTATGTGTTTGAGTCACATGCCAGCTTCTTGGATTATTTACCAGTTATTTCCTGTTGACGTACTTGATTGGTAATATACCTTGTTGATAGGGTTTTAAAGCTTGTTCAGCTTTTCCTTGAACACATTACTTGTACACGTTACAGTATGAAGGTAAAAGTAAATACGATCTGTATGGGTTGGAATTAGTTTGAACGAAAATTAGAATGTTCTTTAATTTTGTTGGTTTTCAAGTTAGATGCCCTCTTCTAAGTTTTGAATTGATAATTTCTTTGTTCCTTGTCCGAATGCCAGTTTCTGGCTCGGAGAGATGTTTAGCAAAATATTTGCTTATGCATTACACTTGTGTATTCTCAACTTGAAGGATACATGCAAAGAGAAGCTTGCTGTCAAATTGGAGGATGAAGTATTTCTTGATGCAAAAAATGGGGATGTCTCTCTTTTATCTGAATTGATGAAGAAGGAAGAGGAGAACTTGATAAAAGCACATGTAAAGGAGGAAGAAGTAAATGATCCCAAAGAGGCCCCGAACTTGAATGACCTTCAATTTAGTAAGTTGGACGAGCTTCTTACACAAACCCAGCTTTACTCAGAGTTCCTGCTGGAGAAGATGGATAACATCACAGTGGTATATCCTTGATTTTGTGAAGAATCTTGACTGCTGGGTGCGAAAAGCTGTCTCTATTTTGCTAATCCAGGTTCATTTCTGCATTTTTCATTTGCAGACTGGAGTGGAAGATGAAGAGAAAGGCAGTGAAGACAAGAAGAGGGGTCGTGGCAGAAAAAGAAAGGCTGATACAAGTTATAATAATGTATTTCTTCTCTTGTCCTCCTTAGAAAATAGGTCTACATTGAGTTTTTCTTCATCTTGTGAATCATTATGCGCAACACCTTGGTTAATTATTAGTGTATATTTACATGTTGTGTATGCGGCATTTGATTAGGTGAGTTCTACTAGTACCGTCCAACAACCAGTTAAGTTTTCCTTTTTGTCTCGCATGAATTGTGAAATAGCACTTGGTATTGCTTTGTGTAGCACTTGCCTGATTCTGTAGGTCATTAGTTTTTGATTTTTCAAGTCTCAAAGGTAATTTGAGAGCTTTATTGGAGCTAGTTTTTCTTTTTTGTTGGACGGGTCAGTCATTTAGTTTCTATGCATTTTGTCAGTTGTTGCCCTTCTTCCATTCTGTGAAATAGTTCAAATGTCTAATGCAGAAAAAGGCCAAGAGAGCTGTTGCTGCCATGCTTTCAAGATCTAAAGAAGGTGGTTCTGTTGAGGATTCAACCCTCACGGAAGAGGAGAGAGCTGACAAGGAGCAGGCTGAACTTGTGCCCTTGCTGACTGGTGGAAAGTTGAAGTCTTATCAACTGAAAGGTGTCAAGTGGTTGATTTCATTATGGCAAAATGGGTTGAACGGGATTCTAGCAGATCAAATGGGACTTGGAAAGACCATTCAAACTATTTCTTTTCTTGCACATTTGAAGGGAAATGGGTTAGATGGACCTTATTTGGTCATTGCTCCCCTGTCAACTCTTTCTAATTGGATGAATGAGATAGAAAGGTACATTAATATCCTATTGCGAAATTAGTAGAAGTGCTATCCGTGTTTAGTTGATGCAGGTGCTTATATTGTTATTAAATTGTCTCCGGTTGCTAGTCTGCAAGACAGGAACTAAAGGGATAAAATTTTAATTATTTTGCTTGATAGGTTTGTCCCATCCATTAATGCAATCATCTACCATGGAGACAAGAAACAAAGAGATGAGATAAGGAGGAAGCATATGCCAAGGACCATAGGTCCCAAATTTCCAATCGTAATTACCTCTTATGAGATTGCAATGTTTGATGCAAAGAAATTCTTGAGGCATTATACTTGGAAGTATCTCGTGGTTGATGAGGTACCTCTGGCTTACATAGTCTTAAACTTGTCACATTTATACTGTTTTATTCTACAAGTTTTGTGCTTTAATGTAGAAGGCAACTTGTTCTGCATTTCATGCTGATATTGTGTTTCTTGGTTCTTCCGAAGGGGCACAGGTTAAAAAACTCAAAGTGCAAACTGTTCAAGGAACTCAAGCTGTTGCCAATTGAAAACAAGCTTCTATTAACTGGAACACCTCTGCAGAACAACTTAGCTGAGTTGTGGTCATTGTTAAATTTCATCTTACCAGATATATTTTCATCCCTAGAAGAATTTGAGTCATGGTAAACAGCTGATTAGACATTCTACCATTTTTCTTGAAGTGCTTGTTTCAATAGCTAAATATTTGTTAATTCTAAATGATGCTTGTCTTATTATTTTCTTTAATGAGCCTACCTTGCTAGCATTTTTTTCTATCTTTATCCTGCATATAATATGGTTCTCTCTCGTACTGGTTATTTACTGCCCTGAATTGTAAAATTTTGGTTAGCATATTGACATCGTTTTCAGATGTAATGCAGTGCATATCAGATGAAACCAAATTGTAAATATGGCCGATCAAATGCTTTAGTTTGTGATATCAGACAGTTCTATCTTAGAACACTGATGTATAACACACAGGGTAGACTAGTCACAAGTATCTGGTTAATTGTCCTGGTTCTTATTAGAGCTCATAGCAGATATATTGCGTTGCACTTCCCTTGTTTAGAGTACAGTGTATCATTTGAAACACATGACTCACTCTTCTTCTCAAATGGTCGTGTAAAGATTTTAGTGTAGGTCAAATGATATCATGAGAAGTCAAAGTGTTAAATGATGACCTTGTTTTTATTTGCTTATCAGGTTTGATCTATCTGGGAGGTGCGGCAATGAAGCCCAAAAGGAAGAAATGGAAGAGAAAAGGAGGACACAAGTATGATTGTTGTTCAGTATTCCATTTTTCCATTTTAAAGCAGATGATGTTTGTTTATGAGTGTCATAACTGCAGGTTGTTGCGAAACTCCATGCAATTTTACGCCCTTTTCTTCTTCGGAGATTGAAAGTAGATGTTGAGCAAATGCTTCCCCGAAAGAAAGAAATAATTTTATATGCTACCATGACTGAGCATCAGAAGAAGTTTCAGGACCATCTAATTAACCAGACGTTGGAGGGTTATTTGACCGAGAACTTGTCCATCGGTAATTATCTCACTTATATAAATATCTTAAATATTCTCGGTCCATCGGTAATAATCTCACTTGTATAAATATCTTAAATATCTACTTCCGAGAGAAAATGAGTGTCTTTTGTTTTTCCTCATTTGAGAGTTAACATTATAGTCCATATCCTCTATCCACAATTGCACTTTCTTAACTATTCTCTTTCTCTAAGTTGCTACTGAAGTATTGACGGATCCAAGGTTCCATTCTCTTTCTCTAAGTTGCTACTGAAGTATTGACGGATCCAAGGTTCCATTCTCCAACAAATAAGTTCTTAAAAGGGAAATTAGCTGAATGGAAAATTTAAGTATAGTTTGTATAAAAATTTCAATGTTTTCTCAATTGGCAAGCTGATGTAGATTGTACTCAAATTTATATATAATAACATACAGAACATCTATCCAGATTAGCTTTATTATGGCATCTGTAGTTAGCTTGGAATGCGTTATGGGTTTCTCTGGTGAAGCAAACAATTCCTTTTTATTGCCATTTTCTAAGTGCACGATACCCCTCATGACACTTCAGGGTTTGCAGTATTAAAGTTCATTTTCTGAATGTGCAGGGAATCATTTTAGAGGAAAGCTCACTAACTTGATGATTCAACTCCGCAAAAATTGCAATCATCCTGATCTCTTGGAGTCAGCATTTGATGGTTCTTGTAAGTGACTATGATTTATTGAACTGATTGTATTGAGGTGTGTTGACAATGGCCTTACATTATTTTTTATCTTGTTGGCAGATCATTATCCACCTATAGAACAAATAGTTGGGCAATGTGGCAAGTTCCGCTTACTGGAAAGGCTTTTGTCAGAATTGTTTGCTCGCAAGCACAAAGTATGTGCTTCATTGTGCTTTTTTGTGTGCCCACCTTGCTGAAACTTTCTATTAATTTTACATCTTTTCCGTACAGGTTCTGATATTCTCTCAGTGGACTAAAGTACTGGACATAATGGATTACTATTTTAGTGAAAGGGGCTTTGATGTTTGTAAAATTGATGGCCGTGTGAAATTGGACGAAAGGAAAAGACAGGTGATTGGTACTTCAATTGTGATACAGATGGAGTATGTAATTTATAAGCATTTGATGACATTTTAAACCATGATTGTCGCTCATTGATGACGCCAATTGTTAAATTAATCTTAGGCTGTGTAATTTTTCTTGCTCAAGAAAAATTTAAGCAAGTCATGATAACATGATCAACATAGGCTACAAACATATTCTTGAACACCTCTGTCTATAATCTTCTGGTACTCCAGAACTCTACTTGCGTGTAGAACTTCATTGTGGCTAAGGAAGAAACCTGATGATACTGCACTGTTAATGGACAGATCTATATCTAGATTTCTGCCAACATCTTTGTTATTGGATGTTGAATTGCCATTTTGTATTAATCAAGTATGCACAGTGTCAGTATCAGAGGGGTTCATTGTTACGTTGCTTATGTATTCCACTTAGACTCAAAGTTGCTTCTTTCTTCTTTATTGCATTTAGATCTCTCCCCCTGCCCCTCCTTGCAATTTACTTGCTCTCCCTTTTAATCCTTTGTCCTGAAGTGGCAAGGTTTAATGTTTATGACTTCACATGATAATACCTATTAAAAGAAGATTAAAAAAAGGTATTCTTCTTGATAACAAATAATAATATTTGAACAGATTGAGTAAATTGGCCCAGCAGGAGCATGAAATAATTGGGTTATCTGGAAGCTTTTGATTAAGTTGATCTAATTATACTCTTCTTTTGTAATGAAGTAAAAGATCTGATTATACTCACTTGTTGCTCTGAACAGATCAAGGAGTTCAATGATGTTAACAGTGAGTGCAGGGTATTTCTGCTGAGCACCAGGGCTGGTGGTCTTGGCATTAATCTTACTGCTGCAGACACCTGCATTTTATATGACAGTGACTGGGTACCTTCTTGCACCCTTCTGTTTTTTTTTTTTTTATGTGGCTAAATGATACTCTCACACTTTATCAATACTTCAATTAAGGTTGATGTAACAAGCAATTTAACAAGCATTGCAAAATCAATGTATTTTAGGATAAAGAATAACGTTATACCAATGATGGTCTAGAGAGTAAAGGTTTTAGGATTAATTATAAGTAAGAATTGTACGTTGTAAGTTTTGCTAGCATAAGAAAGAAAGTGAGTTGAGATTAGATGATATTGTGATGACTAATGCAGACAATCCAGATTTTGGCTAAACTTTTCAAGAGAATGACATGATGGGCTTAGATGTAACATATCACATTAAATAAGATTAGCTGAAAGAGAGGATGACTACATGAATATTATGTGATAGCTTACAGGGGGTCAGGGAATACTTAATGAGTGAAAGATAACTTCGATAGAATGGTTCAAGAGTAGTAATGCTAAATGGAAGTGAATGTTGGGCCTTAAAGACCCAATACACCAACGAGATAGTCAGAAAATAGAAATACATATGTTAAGATCGATACGTAATTGTACAAGATTAGATGGGCATTCTACAGAAGGCGCAAAGGGTACAAATTGAGGGGAAAACGAGAGTAGTTCACCTTAGATGGTTTGGTCACATTCTATGTTGACCTCCAAGTGCACTGGGTGACACCATATTTTTGAAGATGTCAAAGGGAACGAGATAGACGTAAAATCTCATGGAGGGAAGCCTTTGAAATTCATTTGAACTTGGTGAAATCAGAACACAATGGAAGTATCATTATAGGCAGTACCAATAAGTCAAGATTAATGTTTACTTGCTTAGTCATTTTTGGTACCTTCCATGAGGACTCGTGTTTGACAGGAATCTTTAGTTAGGGTAGAGTGTTAAGTGAAGAGGAAAGTGGTGATATTTAGAAAATCCGTAATTGTTGAGTGTATGATCCCAAATAGAGTGGAACCGATATTGTAGATTTACATAGCCAAACCCTACTAGCTTGGGATTGAAGCGTAATTGTTGTTATGATTTTGTGATATTAGTAAACTGAAAATACATGCATTACTTGGGACTGAAGGGCAGCTTCCATAAAATGGTATGATTTTAGCATGAAGAAGCAATGATTTAGGTTTCAAGCATGTATAAGCGCTCAGCTTGTGTTTGCGGGTGGGGTGGTTAGGGAATTACTGGATTTATGACCCATTTCATCATTTTATTGATATGATATACTGTGGTGATGTGCCAATTGAATAGATTCTATTTGAAACATAGTAATCACACACTTTTACTGCATGTTGCCTTGTCTCTTCATATAGCATCACTTTATTGATATCCCATGCTTGAATCCTCACTTCAGAAGCAATAATTCCACTTATTTATTTTCTATGATCTTTTACTAACTATATTTGGTACTTCATACTATGGTCAGTTAGATAAATCAGTAACTTGCACTTCTGCTTTCAGAATCCACAAATGGATCTACAGGCTATGGACCGGTGTCATAGAATAGGTCAGACAAAACCTGTTCATGTTTACAGGCTTGCAACTGCTCTGTCTGTGGAGGTACTAAACAGCTTTTGTAAAGATACATTTTAGCTGCTCTTGAGTTCTACTCTTTTCTAAAGAGTTAAATGTGTGCTTCAGGGTCGAATGCTCAAAAGAGCTTTCAGTAAGTTGAAGCTTGAACATGTGGTGATTGGAAAAGGACAGTTTAAGCAAGAAAGAAGTACTACAGATACTATGGAGGTTTGTGTTTCTAACCCCTGCAAGATACTTATTCCGTTGTATGGCTTTGTAGCAGCTATAGTTTTGAGATGCTTTTGTGTTTCAACTGATTGTGATTGAATTTGACATCCTTTAAATAGTATATCATGTTGAAACCTCTTGCCAGTTTTTATAGCAGTGCTTACTGATCTTTCATACTTCAATTTGGCAGATAAAACGGTCAGGGCTTGATGTCCTGATTACTTATGCTGTATAGCCTTTCTTCTGTAGAAAAATATTTGGTATCAATGTAACGGCTGTTTCTGTTAGAGCTGTTGTTAGTGGTATGATAATGAAGTGTTGAATGAAGTAGTTGGTAATAATGTTTTGGTGTATCAGGAAGAGGACTTGTTAGCACTGTTGAGAGACGATGATAACGAAGAGGACAGGTTGACGCAGACAGATATCAGTGATGAGGATCTACAGAGGGTTTTAGACCGAAGTGATTTGGTTGTTGGTCCGGCAAGTGAAGATGAATCAAAGGTATATGTGGTTCCACTTAAAGGACCCGGTTGGGATGTTGTTGTTCCAACTGCAAGCGGAGGCATGCTTTCTACTCTCAACAGCTGATAAGGAAGGGAAGGGACTCATGGGCATGGTTCATTTGCAGAAATAGATGTTTTTGGGAGCTAAGCAACGTTGATTATTTTGTAATCTACTTTTTGCAAATTTATGGTCTTGGAGCACCTTGTTTGCCCATTGACGTATCACTGCAATGTCTTTTTGATAACATTAGCAGCATTTTGTAAATCTTTATGATATTTTCAGATTATTCATCTTAAATTGACCATATAGCTAAGTTCCATGTGTTTTTTCTAGTTAAAGTTTTGTTATTCTTATTTTGGGTTAGCATAGGTCAACGGAGGGGCTTAAAAGTTTAAACAATCCGCTCCTCTTTAACATTCTTTTTTCTATTTTTTATTCTTCCCATTCTGCCCCTATAGACTCGTCTAGGCATTGTTTATATGATGTCACTATTATTTAGCTAAGTTTGACGAGTTTAAACAATAAAATTTGTTCAGAGTTTTATATTTGATTGGTTAAATTTCTTAAAAATTAAGGAGAATAACATTTCTAAAGGATTAAACAAGTTGCACGCACATGTGATATTTTAAATATTGATGTGTCTTTTTCACGTTTTAACACACTTCATTTTCATCCAATCGTTGTAGCTCTCATTCCCAACACTCCCACCTCTCATTATGCCTAAATTAGATAAAAAATAATTTTAGAATAGTATTTTTTACTAATGCCCCAAACATAAAAAAGTAAATAAGAAATCTTTTGTTTTTGAAAAATATTTTTCTTATGATAAAAATTTGAAGCTAAAAAAGTATTTTCCGTTACCGGGAATCGAACCCGGGTCTCCTGGGTGAAAGCCAGATATCCTAACCGCTGGACGATAACGGATTGTTGTTGATTTTATGACAAAATATATTTATAAATGAAAGTTGATTTCATAGAGATGAAAGTACAAATGGCTGATACAGAATCAGAAAATGTGTAACATTAACAAACCAAAAAAAACCCTCATTTTCAAATTTAGAGTTGGAGTTGTAGAATATTTAGAATTTGAATGTACTTTTTTTTAAATATAGTTATATTCTTTTTAAAACTAATAAAAGTCGATTGAATTAACTAATTTACTTCAAACATACGATCAAGTTTGTTTTAAATTAGTAATATCTCAAATAGATAGTCACATAATGTCATAAATTAGATTCCATACAAGCTACTAAATTCAAATAAATATGTTTTCATTTTATTTGAAAATTTGAAATTAGAGTTAAAGATAAAGTTGTGTTTTTTGTTATAAATTTCCAAATAATTGTATGTATTTTTTTTAAAAAAATGAAATATGATTTAAATGGAATCATATTTATAAAAATAAAAACATTAGGAAATTTTAAAAAAAAATATATATAGTGAAAGTGAAAATAATATTTATGTCAAACAGTAATTTTAAAGTAAAATAAAATTTTTAGAAAGTGAAAAATTCTCATTGTCAAATGGTCCTTAATATACAAATAAATTAATGATTGAAAATAGTGTCTAACAATTGAACTTAAAGGCAAATAAATTATTATGCTAGAAAAATTAATAAAATATCTATTAGCTAAAGAATTTCCAATAAATTAATAGTGCTTGCTCTCTCACTATTACAAGAAAATTAAATTGAATATTGTATCAAGATTCGAATTGCAAAAAATGCTTTTGAAGAAATTTTAAAGATAATTAAGAAACAAATTCTATTATATTCAAACAAGATAGATATATAATGAAACAAATCAATTTTCAACACAAACACATAATGTATTTATAATCACTTTTAACTCTAATTACAATTTACAAAGGAAATAATACATAGTAAGATGATTAGAAGTAACAATCAAAACTTCGACATAATCTACACAATCATTCTTTTTAATCCTTAAAATTTTTTTGAGCAATAATTAATTAAATATGACTCTAAAATAAAACTCTCTAATATTTTACTTAATCTAATAATATCAACTGAATCAATCATATTATAAAGTTATCATGGATCACAACAAATCAATACCCATTATAAAATAAAATAATAGAGTATAATAATATAAAATGAAGATGATTTTAAATCCTTTAACGTGTCATATAGGAGAAGAAATAAACTTGTGTGGCGATTTTTAAGGCATTACACTTGTCTTAAAGAGACAACAATAAGTGTGTTGATGACATTATTTCATCTTCTTGTCTGTTTATATTACATAAACTCCTTACCTATTACCTATAAATCGAATGATGAAAGACTACAAGTTTTAAGAATGATTAACGCAATAAAATTAGCAAACAGAGCACAAGTACCACCCTCTGTTTTGTCATACCATATTGCTCGAAATAATTCAGACATCAGATTTGTAACCTCTGCTGGACAACCAGACAACAACAACATGGATCAAACTAATAAGAAACCTGAACAAGACAAAGTTACGTAAGTTTCCTTTTTCTATTTTTCCACTTAATGAAGCTGTACGTTAGTTAATTGTCATTAGATTCAGCGGCACCCAACCCACCTTCCTCAGGTGGTGCACTTGCATCCGTTAACTTTGAAAAAAAAATCAAAAATTATATATATATATTGAGAAACTAATTAAGATATAATTAACAATACACTCCTGAAAAGCATATGAGTGTGTCATCATGCTACTATTACTGGATCTACACCCAAAACTTGGGTAGACTTGGGTTCGAATCCAGCTACAGTGTTTATTTTTACTTTTTATTTTTATTTTAAGTTTATCTTAGAGCTCATAATTGAGGTAAGGTAATATTGGTGCATTCAAAATTTTCAAATTTTGGGTTTGCTTCTGATTAGATTCAATATTAATATAGTGTATAGGCTTGAGAGATATTTATAAAGAGGGTTAGTTGTCACAAAAAATAAATACCTATTTAGCAATAATTAAGCTATTGTCGTCAACTAATTTGGTTGTAATTCAAAAAATATATCGTCCATTTTTTTTGGTTGAGTAGTGATAATAATAATATGTATGTACTTTATAATGGATTGAAGGGATACGATGTCAAGTAGCTATGGAGATGCATATGCAACAAGATCAGATGAAGAAGGTTTTGGAGGGATTTATGGTGGAAACAAAGAGGATGAAGAAAATATTAAACATGGCAAAGCCCCTGGTATTAATTTATTAAATACATGTTTACTCTCTTTTAAAGTGTTCATATATAATTTGCTGATTTTAATTTTATTGATTTTCATATAGAGTATGAAACTAAACAAGGAAGTGAAGTCAAAGAGAGGGAGAAGGCTCGTAATCAGCCTTGATTTTTTTTGCCATAACTCATTATCTTAAATATATATGTACTACTTTTTCCTAGCTAGTATATATGTACTAAGGTTTAGTACGAGACGTTTAATTTCGTTGTAATGTATTAAGGAACGTTTAATATTTCATTGTTATGTGTTTTTTCTCCCCAAGGTTTAAACTAAACAAGAACGTTTAATAATTCTCCCCTAACAAAATCTCTTTTACTATAAGTGAATTCTGATTAAGTCAGAAGATTTTATAAATAATCAATTTGGTTGCGCTGAAATGGTGTTGAAAACAAAGTTCATACGGTGAGTCATCCGCGCCACAACAATTTTTAAGTGCACTTTATCTTGCTTAAAACCGTCTCTGCTGAGGTGGATTTGATTAGACTCGGATTGCCATATGTCATCTCCTAATAGGTCAAATCCAAGAATGTACATTATATATATTGAGTAGTGCATGGAGAGTTTATAAGTGAGTCCTAAATTGAATTAGAGACAACAACGAACGATTTCATATATATATATATCCAACACCAACACCAACACTGTTGTGTCAGCGGCATACATACATACAATAAAAAGAAAGAAAAAAGTAATCATCTGTTCTAAGATGAAATAACTTATCAATATTGGAGCAGCTTTAGCTAGCCAATTATTTGATCATTCATACATAAGAAACTGTACAGAACCAAATAAAGTGAAGTGGTGGATCATCATATTCAAGAAATAATTTCTTCAATAATAACTGTTGGTAACATCATAATATATAGTTTGTTTTCTACTTTTTGGTCAAAATGTTGCTAGTATTAATATTGACATTATATTTATCAATGCAACACAATTTTAATTTCCACCAAAAGTTGGACCGGATGTTTGGCACTATTGGTGAGTGGGTAACGAGGTTGATTTATACAAAGGCAGATGTACCCTTTCAACAATAGATTCGTTCAATGTTGAAAAGTTTTAATTCGTTTGATTTTAAATTCTGAATTCGCCCCTAGGGATTTGGGTAAAACATTCGAGATTTATGTATCCAACCGAAAAGGTCAAGTAATGACATTTGTTGGTGATTCATCATATGCATGCCGCAGATCATTACCGTTTTTCGCTAGGTTTCGGGCTAGAGTCTCTGACTATGAAAAATATTTTGTTATGCAATACTTTCTTCTAAAATGGGCCTTATACGACAAAAATCTGGATTATTTAGTTATTTAGTTAGGATTTCAATGCAAGTATGTAATACTGTATAAAAATTCAATGAGTATTATTATAACTCCTAATCATAAACAAAAAAATTTAAAACATTTTTTTATTAGTCTAACTAAAAAAGAATACTATATTTTAGATCCGAAGAAAGACATTTTACTCCTCACCAAAACGCACATAAATATACTAAATAGGCCACTAGTTTTTTGTCACAACACTGAACAGAAGGATTTTGATTGATCCACCATACCATAATGTGCACAGTGTTATGTTCAGCTGCAAACAAGTAAAAGAAAGAGAAAACACTGTAGAGAGAATATCATTTTTCCAATGAAAAGCATCAACAAAATTTTGATGAAGTGTCACTAATTATGGCCCAGAATGAAATGAAACAAGCTAAATAGCAGCAAACTTTCAGTTGATAAAGTGAATTAGTGGATCATCATATTCAAGAAAGTATATATTGTACACTTATATCGACCAGGATTGCAGTGAAATAACAAGTATTTAACTAAAAGTATTGAGTGAGCCTTGCTAGGTAAAAATGTACATCTTTGTGAGAGAGTGTTTTACGCTCAATTGAAACTTTCAATTCTAACACAAATTAAAATTTAATCAAGCTCTAATATAAGTATTGAACATCGATGGACTGTGAAATAAAAGAAAATATTTGTACATTGTGATTTGTGAAGCAGTCTTATTAACAGAAAAAGGGAATGTTAAGAGTACTTTTTAGTCAATCTATTTGACTGATCATCAAAAGAGAAATTAAAGTTAAAGTAAGTAAGTAGTAGTGTTCTGCTACTAAAAGAAGGAAAAGCTACTTAGCACAAACATAGAATGAACTCATTTTTGACTCCAACTCTTTGAAAGATATATGGACCAAAAAGAAAACCAACTGATAAAAGAAACAATTTGTTGTAGGACAATAACTATCATATCAGTACCATAACATCATCTCGTCTCATTAAGTATATAACTTTCACTTAATTAAAATGCATACTTTTGGTCCCTTAATATCTCATAGCTATATTGTATCTCATAATTTATAAGTGGCCAATTTGGGAAAGATGATGTGTACACAATTTTATATCCGTCTTGCGAACATTGATGGATCTAGGATTTCTAAATCCTAAAACTTGGTTGTACCACTAAAAAATATATTTAGTACGAATTGATCCAGTGTAAAAACTCAATCTTCAATTAAGTGCACACATTAGTTTTCTTGTAGCATGAGTGTCAACATATAATATTATGCTAAATTTAGAGAATATATACATAAAATACTTCGTTTTGTAGAGAAATCATGGATTCACGTGCTGTCTATAAATTCAGCCATTATTAAAAAATCATTATTTTCTATTGAAATTTTGCATTCGAAAAAGTTCAATGACTATATTCCTACAAATATTTTGATTGAATCGATGAAAAAAGAAAGTGAAGCAGTGTTTTCACAAGAAAAAATAAGAAATTTTTTCACTATTTCAGCGAGAATCTATTTTCGAGTGAGCTGATTCGGTGGGAAATGAGTGAGTAAATCAAGTTTCATAACAAAAATTTCCCATTAGTTCGTGGTAAGAAAAATGATTATTTCTAGCTAGTAGTAGGCCTGCCGGTAAAGGTAGAGTCTATTTATAATAAATCCCGACTCAAATAAAACATATTCCTTCTGTTTTTATTTACTTGTCCATTTTTTACTTGACACATTTATTAAAAAAAAAAATTGACATATTAAGCTATTTTACCCTTATTGATTGATAGAATTTCAAAATCAATTCATTCATTAATTTATTTTTATCTTTTTTAAAAATATTAACTTTCTAAATAAATTGAGGATATAATAAATAAATAATTCTTATATTTTCTTAATTTGTCAAAAATGATAAGTAAAAAGGAACATCAAGTATCGTAATCAAATATGAAGGAGGAAAATATGGTAAGTAAGCATGCTGACAGACAATAGTGTAGATGATTAGACAGTTTTTAGCAAGTAGCATATATTAAGCTCAAATTTGAAAGAACAATGTAACACATCAATAATTAAATAGTTTAGCATTGAATATTAATTTGTTAAAATATTCATAAGTAGAAGGATCAAAAAGCGCACATTTCAAAGTATTAAATGTGCTTAACTATATATATCATAACGATCAAAACAAGAATTAAAACAAAAAAAAAAAAGCAAAATTCTCTTTTCCTTTTTTTCCTTTGCTTGAATTTTTTTAAAACTTTAAAAATGAATAATGTTGCCTCCATCATCATATCATAATCTTCTTTTCCTTTTTTTTTTTTTCTTGTCTAATCAACAATGCTGAGATGCTAAAAATGGCCAAAATGAAATTGCATTATCAGAATCACGATCATCATGATCTTCAATAAACCTAAATTCATGATTTCCATAAGGTGATGTGTAACACGGCATTTTCTGTCCTTGTGAATTATGAACCCACGATCCGTTTATCGTATGTTGTGTACTGCTCTCCATTCCGATTCCACCTGCGTTACCATTAGCCGCGGCTGCTGCACTAGCTCTCCTCTCTTCTTTTTTAAATCGAATCCCACACGCATTACAAAGTGACTGCACCACACCATATAGTTCAATTTAGTATATATGAATAAAAAATTCGTTACAATAAGCATATAAAAAATATATTTACCTTAGGTCCTCTAGGACCATTTCTCCATAAAGGTGTAGAAGTAGTGTCACAATTAGCACATCGACGGGCTACAAGTGGGTCAGCGTTGTTGCTACCCGAATTAACGTTGTTACTACCACGACCAGATTTGTGATGATGAGTCGATGAAGTATGATTTTTGTTCTGTAGAATATTCCAACATTTTGACATGTAAGAAGAAGAACGACGTTGTTCATGAGTCGTCGTTGACGACTCATGAACTCGCTTTTCATCATTGGTAGTACTAAGACGAGTGGAAGGTGTACCTAAGGAGAGAGTACAATCAACTGAAGACGAAGAAGAAGAAGGAGAAGAAGCGAAGGAATACATGTTTTCGGAATAATTTTCATCTTTTTGATACTCATGATGAGTACTATAGAACATTGAGTATGCACAAGTGTTGTTATTTTCATGACCGTAATACAAATTGCAACTGCACGGACCACCATGACAATAAGCGTTACCACAACTATTCATCGTGATTGTTTTTGTCTATGAAATTGAAATTGAGAGAAGAGAGTTTTGTGTAGCCTTTTGTAGTGTACAAAAGAGAGGGAAGATATGGAGTAAGTGAGGTAGTTTATTAGCTTTATATAAGCTACTAGTAAACTTTAGTGTATAGTAATTAATTAATTAAACAAATACACGTCAGCAAGTCCACGTTGTCGTCAAATGTGGTCTACAACGTTTTTTTTTTTTTTTTTTTTTTTGGATTCTTTGTTTGCAGATGAATGAAGAGGTGGGGACCCAGATTAATGTGAACAAGTCAGAGAAAGAGATAGATGGAGAAGTTAAAGCAAAAACTCAAAGTGAGAGTTCGACTGAAGAAGAGTAAAGAAGAGACTTAAGTTCTAGTAGATGTTGTCGAGTACTCTTTTCGTTTCAATTTATTTGTCTAATTTTAGATTCGTAGAATGTATTTAAATATTCTTTAATTTTTTGATCGAGATATTTTTTTTGAAACGAATTAGAACAAAATTATGACAAACCAATTGAAAGGGAGATAGTATAATTGCATAGTTTAAGTGGCAGTGGTCTCTATATTTAGCAATACCTGAGTATTACTGGCAGATCTATCATAGCAGAATTCGAATTATTTGTTGGGATTTAACTTTTTGTGTAGTGATTAGTGTACTGTTTACTTATAATATCAGATTAATATATAATTAATAAGCAATATATGTACAAGTAACTGGCGTTACTATTTGAATTTGGTAAATTAGAAATGCAGTAAATTACGATATGTTAAAATATACTGATAAATAATATAAAAATTCTTTACACATCGATATAATGTGTATTCTATACTATGTATTATACAAATTAAACACAACTATTATATATAACTGAATAGGTAACTTTAACTCAAATAATATTTTTTTGAAAATTAAACTACATATAATTAATAACATGTCATATTTGAATACATAAAGTTAATATTTTTGATCTTATAACCAAATAAAGAGAGGAGATAAATTGGTCAAAAGAAAGACACGTGACAATGAGGAACAGTCTTCCATGGATCTGCCTTCTCCGATCACGAGGCCACCCAATATCTGTCGGTATCCATATCTCCGCCCCGACCCAACTCACGTCACGACGGATGGTTCCTTTAGCTTGTACCAACAACACAATGACATTTCTATGCCCCTCATACATGGGTATATCGTTAATTATATCCTAATTTATGTTAGTTTCTCAAGATACATATACATAATTTTTACCAAATTAACAAGTGCATACTATATAAATGGGTCCACCTTTGCTACAGGATCCATTTGGGAATTCCGCTTCCAACAAAATTAAAAATTATACTTAAAAATCGAACGCAAAGACCATTGCTATCAATCTAAAGTTTATGTGATGCAAACTTGTAGCATAGATTTTGTTCCATTCCGAGGTTGGTAGGTAGGTAGATAATTGAAGAAATAAATTGACACAAGAAATATAAAAGTAGATATGGAAGTGATACTTATGAGAGTAAGTTTCCTAACACTGAATTGCACCATTCCTCCTATCATAAAAATTAGGTACACATCACAAGAACAATCAGTTTTACAGTTTCTGGCATTGCATGTCCATTACTCAGTAACCGTACCCTCAATTCACGTGATCAACTACTCATATTCAAATATACCTAATCTTATTCTTAATTTCCTATCCAACTTATAACCTACAAATTTATTTATTTATTTTCCTAAGTGAAAATACTATTACTTTCGTCTCGTATTAATTATTAATTTTATTTTTTCACATTTTAAAATAAAAAGTACTTTTCACTATTATAACATATCTTTTGCTAAGAAATTGTATTTTATTTGAGAACAAGACTAAGCAAATAATCATATTTCAAGAACGTTTAATACTAAGAGTAAAATGAAATAAAAATAATTAATTTCATCTTTATTTTATAAAATGACAAGTAAATTAAGATAAATATATATGTTTTAACTTCGACAACTAATATGGTACGCGTACGGAGAGAGTAACATGATTAACTTTTTTTTTTACTTTTCATCCGGTGTTTGGTGTCTATATTGACTATATTCAGTCTGCACACATGGCTAATCATTAGGAGGTGGTGCTTCCAGCAAAATTTTCTTCATATCTAGAATTTGAACCTAAAACTTTTAATTAAGGGTGGAACAATCATACACCACAACCATGTTGGTGATTAAAACTTAATTTCAATTAATGATGCAATTAAGTAAGTTAAAATATAAAATGCATTGGCAATTGTGGATGGTGGGCAAAAAAAGAAGGGATACTCTGGCAATCATCAAAGCAACATGTTTCTTTCTTTCATCAGAACTAAGAGAGAGCAAAATCTTTGACTCAGAAGATGCAAACTTAGAATGGTAAAAAAGGGAGGAAAACAAAAAAGAAAAGGTGTACCCACCCACCCTCTCTCTCTTTAAAAATAAAAAAACTATATATTATAATAATAATTTGGTACTCTACCCCACAAGTGTAATGATGATGGAAATGGGGTCCAACGAAATTAGAAACAAAAACTTCCCTCAAGAATATCGATAACAAGATTCAAAAAAGGGTTAGAGAATAAAATGATCTTGAGATTGGCGTCCCCTTTGCTCGACAAACAACAAGACCAGACCAGACTTGCCATTCACTTTCCAAAATATGCTCTATCAACTATATATTATAATCTTTTCATTTACCCAATAATTTTTATTATCATCACTACCATACACTATAAACGTTGCATGGTATAACACCCCCCTCCCTCCCACCCCCCACCTACTCATGTCACACCAATATTTTATCATATTACGAGTTTAAGTTATATACATTATCTATTTAATTATATTCTTAAAAATATCATCATCAGGCTATTTTAAAGATATTTATATATTAGTCTCCTTAAAATATGAAATTTGTAATCTTAAAAATAATATAAATTAGATCCTGCCACATGTAAAAATGATCTAATATTATAAAAAAAATTTATAAAAAAAAATGCATATAACTGAAACTCTTACCATACCTACAATTTCTATTCCACACATAAAATGCACAATGTAGTAGCATGGAAAAAGGGAGTAGCATATATATTTTTTCGTTATTTTTTACTTGTTCAGTTTGGACTTTACACGTCTTTTAAGAAATAATGATTGATACTAATATTTTATCACATGGATATTTATATTATTTAATGTTTAGTATTAGATCTTAAAAATTAATTAATATTAAAAATAGCACATCAATTTTTTTTAAAAAAAATACTAAATATGACACGTAAAATTTAACACTAGATAAAGATAGGGTCAATGCAAATGAGTATAAAAGTAGTATCATCAGTCAATAGAAATGAAATCTAATAATACGGTTTTTAATGTAACTCTGGGATTTGATTAATCATGGAAGCCAATTACCCCCCACGAACGCCTCCATAATTCTCACATTCTTTGAGGCTAACAAATATGCTCACGCTTCCTCATAAATCATCATACATTACAAATCTACCATAATAAAACTATATATTATAATATAAAAATAAGTATAATACAATGACCATCATCTTACGTGGCATCTTCGATTTTGTGGGTCCATCTAGTCCTAGCTATAATCCTAATATTAAATATCTCCCTAATTATAGTCCTAAATTATCCAACTTTGCTCCTTCATTATTTTTACCGACCAGTTTAAGGTTAAATCATTTTTACTATCACATCATTTAAAAGATATCATTTCTTAAAATCTGAATTTAAATATAAAATATATTAGTTACTACATCAAACATTTTTTTTTATGATGATACCTTTTTCTTTTTTATATGCAATATATTACTTAAACTCATAAAAAAAGGATATATTAATCAATGGGTTTTTATCTTTATATACAAATATTTTTAACAATATATATAATAATCACTATCAAGAGCAGATCTGGGGGTAGTGTTCATCTCAATCCCTTCGACAAGAAATTACATTGTATACATAAGGTATTTTAAATTGTTTTTAGTGTATATATAAAAATTTTGACTCACCTCAACACAAAACTAGATGTTGACTTAATGGTTTAGGAGTTTTATTGATCACTATAATTTTTATTTAATTTGTTAAGAACAATTATTGATGGTTACTTCCTTCGATCTGTTCATGTTTACTTGTTCATGCTTGAGTTTGACATATCCCTTAAAACAATAAATAAAATAATATAATTATACTATACTATCCCTAATTATTATATGTTGAAAAATGAATTAAAAACAATTATAACTACAAAATTATAAAATGGTAAATATAATCTTTTAGATGGACGGAGGACCTTATTGAGTAAAAAATTCTCTTAAATATAATATAATATAAGTGTATAAAGATAAAGTTCTCATGATTACACATTAAACCCGTGCCATACGTAAATAATAATTACTACTAGCCATTTTGAAATTCCCCCGTTACACTTTGAATATTTGCATGCATGAACTAATTATCCAACTATCCAATCCATGCAAATAAACTAAGAGAAAAAGCACACAAACAAAATCTGCATATTAAAAAGATTTTGAATACCAAGATTCAAATCTAGATTGATTACTACATACTACTTTATATGCTACAAACGACGAAAAGAACAGTGTCTAAATTCTAAAAAAAGAAGAGAACTATATTATACTATATAGTATATTATAAAAAAAAAAAAACACAAAAGGAAAAGGTAACGTACATTCCTCAAAAGCAACAAGATACAACTGGAATGAATCTCACTTGCCCAGTTTATTTTTAGCTTTTTATGTCTTATAGGACTAAGTTTTCGATTGGTCAATTGGTTAGAGTAAAGAGAAAAAAAGTGATCGATAACAACCCCCAAAAAAAATATGCAAATTTGTAATAAAGAGAGGAACACTTGATAAGATAACCTATATAGAAAGTTATTTAGTAAGTTTCTGATCTGGTCTGGTCAACAATATAATGTGTTATATTTATTATTATTATTACTACTTTCCTCTAAAGAAT